ATTTTAACAGTTCAGGCTAGCCCAAAGCAAAACATAATCACTCGAGTGCTGTGACATCAAATGTTTTCACTGCCTCATTCCTTGGAGAAGCCAATTTCAGAGACACTGTTCACATTGTTCAGTCTTCATTCAGAGTCTAGTGTTCCTACTGTCCGATAGCCAAGTAATGCACTGGTAATGATCTGCAAACAACTGCCTATACATTTGCATCATCTGAGAAACATTCACATAATGAAGAGTCAAGTGAACTGAAGGTAACAAAATCTAGAAAGAATGCAAATAAAATTAATGTCAAACCATCACAGTACAAACAACACTTTTTTTGGAAGGAACAGATTTCACAGGTTGCTTATTCTCTCCTTCATGCATTTATATCTTTTTTTCCCCTCATTACTTTCTTGTATATTCTTCAATGGATACTGATTGTAGTTAAGCTTAATGCAATAGTCTGAAGGAGATGAATTTGATTATTTGATATAATAATTAATTTCTGCATTCTCACCAACTCAGTTGGTTCAGGTAGTGAGCAGCTGATCCACGTATTCAATATATAACTGTACGAAGAGATCTAATCTCATTAGTGATATGTTTGTAATTGTACCCAATGCCCCAGGTTTTTTGAGAGAAGGGGAAGGGGTAGTAAAAGTGTAAAGTTATCACTTTTATTCACTATTCAGTGAACGCCAAAGGAAATGCAGATATGGACATCTGGAAAGTGCATGTGTAGATGAGATTGAGCTATGTTTAGCAAATAAGTGATCAAAGGTGAACAAAACTTGTGGAGAAATAGCTCGCTTTCACTTTAAGTCAGGTTATCACTATTCAGGGGTCAAGCCCACAGTCAGGGCAAGCTCTTCCACTATAGGAGGCAGCCGTTGCTTTTGAAATTATTTTAGAAATCATGATAAATTCTGTAATTTGAAAAAAAAAGTACATTAATCTGATGAAAGAAAAAATATTATTACAAATAAGAACTTAAAGGTATACAAGAATTGACTCTCAATTTTGCTTTTAATCTTATCATTGTTGTTTTTGGAAAATACTTGAAAAAAACTTTTTCCACACTAAGCCCAATTCTAAGCTTTCTAATTAAAATACTTACTATAGCACTGCAACAACTTTGGCGATAACAAAAGGTATGAAGGCACACAAAAGGATATAATAAGGATTCTCCAGTAGAAGTGATCCCATGCATGCTTCCTTTATCATCGGACGAGCCATCAATGTACGTCTTCGCCAGTAAAACTAGAAATAGTTTTAAAGAAAGCAGAATGTTATATATACGAAAAAAAATTACTAAAAGCCACAAACTATTTAAAGATGATCACATTTTTAAACCCACTGATGCCATCTTTCAATTTGCTTGATTCAAGTTTTTAAAAAATACACCCAGATTTATATCTCTTTGTTTTGTAGCCAAATGTAAGTTTCCTTGCCCTCCCTGAAAAGCATTCTTCTGACTTTTCGCAGACACATATACATTTACTGCAAGAACAAGAGTTGCATCTTTCATTGTGACATAAAAATGGCATAAATACTGCACTCAAGCAATGTTCCAACTTCCAGTCCTGATTCCAGAGTTGAATCCAGGTAGTGACAAATCTGATCAGGAGCCAAAATGATCACTGTAAATGACTGAATACTTTACGAAATTTAAGCTCTGGTGCTTGAGTAATGGCAACTTTCACAAGATAAATATACTGTAAGACAATCAGAGTATAGTGAAGAATTCACCTGAACTGTGTTTACTCAGCTGCCTTACAGGACATTATTGGAATGAAGCATAGAGAAAAGAAAATTAAGTGCAAGGTTTTGGCAAAAGGATATGAAGCTTACATAGCAACCAATGTCAAATTGCTACTTTAGAATCTGGATAAGATCTTTTAAAAGCTCACCCATTACAGAAACTTTCAGTATTGGTAGAAACAGCCCAAATTGAGGTAAAAATCCAGAAAATACTGGAGGTTACTTTTAACAGGTTTTATATTCTGTCCACATATATGTATTCCCTAGGCAGGGGTCATAAGTTAACAATCTGAAATTGGAACCCTGTCTCACCGTTTCCTTTGCTAGACCTGGTAGATTTACAGTAATTGTAGGAATGCAATCAAATCACTACTCTGGTAAAGATCAGTTACAACCATGGAGCCTTTGTGGCTTGGGTTCCTTGATATCAGGCGATGTATTCACCATTTTTGGGAGAAACAGGAAGGTGTGCAAAGAATTGAGAACTTTTGTTGACACATTTAAACCAATTTTTACGAAGATGTTGACTTATTACTGGGGCGAGGCTCCAAAGACAAATGTAATTCTCCAGCATCTTACTCAAGTGACCATGAATGTGATGCAAAGGGGGCATCAAAACAAGACTAACCTAATCTTCAAACATTTGCAATAACTGGTGTTACACTCAAGGACATTGGTCCAGAAGGACCAAGAGATGGAGAGAGAAATAAAGACGAAAGGGAAGGCCAAGCTAAACTATAATGCCCCCTCCCAGTCAAGAAATTCACTGGAATGTTCTATCAAGAATTATACATGAATAATAAGTAGTAACAGAATAAATGAAATCATATTCCAGAAAAGATAATGCATTTTGATGACAGTAAATAGTTGAAACAAACAGCTGGAAATAAATAATGCTGTGAATATAAAATGACCCCATCACAATTTAAAATTTAGTTTAAGGATGTAATACTGTCAGGTATTTAAGAAATCAAGCAGCATTATGCTGATTCATTCTAACATTAAAACCAATTTTACCGCCGTTCTCTCCACTTACATGATCTCCAGTGCCAGCTAGATGGACACATACAGGTCGGTATTTATTCTTCCATTCTTTCGGAACTATGAACTGAAACCTGCAGCAATGGCATGTGAATAATTCATGTTGCTAGCTGTACAATAATGTGACAATCATAAATCCAAAACACGCAAACCTGGACTTAAACAAAAAACACCTGATATATAATTAATATCTCAGCAAAATAACATGGAGATTTTATTATCTGTTCAAGGTGTGAACAAATACAATGAATAGCTCTATCTCAAATTAGCAGGACTGACAGGAGGATCTGTCATGACACAACAGCCAGAATTCTACCAGGTAGTTAGAGTATGATTGGGAGATGGAAGAGGTGATAAAAGTGGGGGGCAGAAACTATCAGGAAACAATCAATGACATACTCTCCCTTCCACAGAATATTCCAAAAATGGGAACGGTATTATTTGAACAAATTTGTCTATTAATGGCGTCAGCATGATAATGGACCTATCTACCTGGCCTCTGCATGATAAATAAAATCCTTACTGGCTCTTCAAGGGCATTTCAAACACCAATGTAGTCTCCTCTGTGGTCCCACTGTTACCCAATCATAGCTTAGGATCCGTGGTTGGTCCCAACTGTGGGACCCATAGAGCACTTGTAAAATTCTGGCCATTGTGTTTTTGATATCCTATCATATTTGTCATGTTTTATAGGTTATGTTTTATAGATTTCTATTTAGTCTTAAATAAACGTAATGGTTTTCTTTCCTTTGCATAAAAAGCCAAGAACCAGGCAATGCCAACATTAGAATTCAGAGAATATTTTGTTTTGTAATGCTCCTTTCACATCCAGTGAGATGTTTCAGCATGTTGAAGGAGCTATGCATGTAGTAATTCTTAGAAAAATTACGCAAAATCTTGCATTCTGTTAGCAGAAACCTTTTTTTCCACACCCTTCATTAATCCATAGCAACCAACAGGAAATGACCTTTTTGGGATACTAGTCATTCTTCCCAAACCACATCATCGGAAATTGACATATTTGAACAGATATCAACACCAACTGAGATTACATATCAGGTCTTCTGATCTGCTTTGTTCAGTACTATACCAAAATTATATTTGTCCATAGGACCATCAGTGAGCTACTTCATTTCAATTATCAGATGCGCAACACCACAAATGATTGTTTTTTTTTTAATTGGTTGTTAGTTGGCTTGTGAAGCAATAACGTTAATTGCTTCAATAAACCATTATTCATACTACCCAAAATTATTTTCTGCACTATGTTTTGCTTAACTGATACTACAATACAGTATGAAATGAAGTGTAACTAAGCACACAATTTGTTTAAACTGTACTAAACAGCAAATCTCTAAATCTTCAAATGAAGTTTTATAGTTCAGGAAAATTTAGCATGTCATCTTGTGACTGACCTTGGCAAAGGAAAGGATTTGGTTATGGTTAAGTGACTTTGAGCTCATCAGCAATAACCTTTGGGCTAAAAATTGTTCTTGGCTCCTAAAAATGTAAGGTATATTTAAATCTTGCATTTGAAACTGATATGTAATGCTGGGTGAAAGCCATTAAACATGGTCAGATAAGATTAAGCACAGATTAATAAAATTGTATAGCAGGTCATAAAGTATTGGAAATGTTCTTCTTCTTGCAAGTGAGAGACAGAGATAGAGAGTAGGAGAGAGAGAGAGAGCGTGTGAGTGCATGTGCATAAATATGCACACATTTACACATTACATACAGATTAATATTTGTTCACATCTCATGATTAAGGTTTAAGTTTACCTTTTATGTAGGGATAGCTTTTGGCATTGTACTATAGCTTGAAATAATGAAATAAGATTGTTCATTCCCAGAATGCCTTGGGATTTAACACAAGAGTTCACAATTGAGCTGACTGTTCTGTTTGTTGTGAGCTGTGTAAAGGATGTGTGATTCCTGCCTGTTGAATTGAACTTATGAAAACACTGTGAAATGAAATAGCTGTGGTAGTGACAGGAATGAATCTGTGATGGTAAACAAGTGATCTGGTATTTTTAAAGGAACTACATTATTTCTGATGTACCTTTTTTTGTGTATGCTTTGTACTTTGAAACACTGCATCAAGATATGGTCGCACAGAGGAAAAGTTTAAGCTGTAACGATGTGTTATCAAATTTGAATGTTCCATCAGACCTGCTAATGATTAATATAGATCAACATATGCTTCATTACTCGCATGTATTTATCCAGATTCCCTCTGAATGCATCAACATGATTTGCCTCAAGAATTTCAAGTGGTAGTGAGTTCAATATTCTTATCACTCTCAGATTTCTTGCATTCTTTACTGCATCTTCTTTTTAATATCCCCAGTTTTTGAATCCCTTAAGTAGAAACATTCTCTCTGTATCTACCCTAAGAAACACAAATCCCTTCATAATTTTAAATATCTTTCTAGGTCATTTCTCAATCTTCCTGGAGAATGAACCCCATCCTAATCAGTCTTTTTCGTCAGCTGCATCCTTGGAGTTCTGAAATTATTCTTGCAAATCTGTTTTGCATTTTCTTTGTACCTCTATACCCTTTCAATAATATGGATAGTACTCAAATGGTCATCTAACCAAGGTTACATACATGTTTAACATAACTTGACTGTTTTTACATTCTATAGCTGTAAAAATGAAACCCAGTGATTTAGTTGTATGCTTTATAGCATTGTTAATCTGCACAGCTCAGTTTCATGACGTGAATCTGTACATCTAGATTCCTGTGTCTCCAATATCTTACTGATTTTTATTTTCAAAAGCAGCAGGTGGCTTACTTACTCCTACCAAAATGCACGTTCCTCGCAATTAAAATGAAAATCATTTGCCATCTACACATCCATCCTGCAAATTTGTTAATGTTTCAATCATAGTATTCCTTACTATTAAGTACAACCCTAATTTTGTGTCATCTGCAAGTTGATCTATGAAGACCAAATAATTCATGCCAATTGCAAACAATGTTTCCAGAACCAATCAATCACTGTGGAACACCACTGCTAACTGCATACTAATTGATTTGAATCAGCATCCTTATTATTTCTGGATGTTGGTCAAAAGCAATAACTTAATATTAGGTAAGGACTACTCTACATTCCTCTTTGTAAAGCTATCCACCACAGGAAAAAATCTACAACCAAAAAGAATGGTCTCACTGAAGGGAGTAAAGGTTAGCTTTGCCCAATAGCCTCCAACTATTTCAAAATTGCCACATCACAATATCATGCTAAAGAGTTATTTCAGTTGAGGGGTCTAATCACAGAAGAATTTTGTTTCATCTATACTTAGCCATAGAAAACTCTTTCCCCTTTTACAGTGTTAAATGTCAATTGTAAGTTATCGTAAAAAAAGTTATACTGAAGAATTGAGATAGAAAGTAGTCACACAACACAATATATTAGTTTACTCATGTACTACCCTTCAATAAGAGATTATCCTACAATTTTTGGCAACACTAACTTTTGATCTTGACCAAACAATGAAGACCAATGCAAAAGCAAAGAAAGACAAGGAGAGGGATAAAAAGAGCAGTCACAATTAATGTCTGCATTTAAGTGACGCTAGTAATGCAAATTAACGGAAATTCACTTACAGGAATAACCAGAGAATCAATTCAAGAATATAATTTGTATATCTCAAATAGATAGATCCAAGAATTATTTTCAATAAAAGGTAAAATTTCTCAAATTTCAGAATAAAAATGCAAGCATTGTGAGGATTCAACTGAATGCTTTCATTTCCTTACCTAGCTTTGACCGATTCAGCTGGCATTATCCCTGGTAGATAATGGTCTAGTGGGGATACAAAGTGCCCATCCATGATCTGACAATCAGCCTGTTCCTCGATCTGTAACAAACAGCTTTCAGTTACATTTTAATCCAGAAAGAACAGAAAAAAACTATTTCTTTGTTGATTTAGAATGGCTACTTTTTCACTTCTAAGGCTGTACCACACCAAACACAGACCCATGTTTGCTAACAGCAGCAAAAGACTGGAATTTGCCATTCAACTCTTCAGCAGCTGCCCACAAGATTTCTCGGGCTTTTCACTGTAGACTTCATTTAATATGTGGTCTGATCCAGCACAGCACCCTCTACGGGACACCTGTGACACCTGCTAGCCGGTCAAGAAACAGCTTCTTCAACCAATTCACGTTGAGACATGCAATCTGAGTGGGATGGATATATTTAAATTTAAATTCTGCACAGAAAGAGAAATAAAGTTTGACAAAGACATCTGTGATTAATAAAGTGGCACAAAAGACTGGTAAAAAGTAGAAGTTTCACTTTTGTGTTCAACATCAATTAACTTGTGAAGGAATGAGACTCGACTTGTGAAATTAAACTTTGGGGTCTAGAAAGATGTTCAGTAATAATTATCATTTAATGTACTATTAAAAATTCAATGAAATATGAATGGACCTGCCCTAATATTTTACTAGAATATCTTTGTCATTCGGAAATTCAAGGCTTGCTGACAGAGACAATGACGACTGGGGCACTGGAGGAATCAGTGATAAGATTCCAGCTATTCACAACATACATTAATGATTTGGATGAGGAAAATAAACATAATATCTCCAAATTCGTAGATGACACAAAGCTGGGATGAAGGGTGAGGAGGATGCAGAGATGTTTCGGTGGAATTGAGTCAAGCTGAATGAGTGGTAAATGCATACCAGATCCACTTTATCTGAGTAGCTATAAATTGAAAAGGGAAATGTGCAACAAAACCTGGATATGCTCGTACACCAGTCACTGAGAGGAAGTATGCTGGTGAAGCAGGCAGTCAAGAAGGAAAATGGTATGATGGCCTTCATAGCAAGAAGATTTGAGTACAGGAGCAGGAGGTCTTGTTGAAATTATACAGGGCCTTGGTGTGACCACACCTAGAATAATGTGTGCAGTTTTGGTCTCCTTATCTGAGGAAGGATATTCTTCATATGGAGGGACTGCTGCAGCAAAGATTTACTAGACTGTTTCCTGGGATGGCAGGAGTGACACACAATGAGAGGATAAATCTATGAGGAGAGGAGGCGATGGCCTAGTGGTATTATCGCTGGTCTGTTCATCCAGAGACCCAGATAACATTCTGGGGACCCAGGTTCAAATCCCACCACGGCAGATGGTGGAATTTGAATTCAATAAAATATCTGGAATTAAGAATCTTAATTTGACTACTGTTAGGAAAAACCCATCTGGTTCACTAATGCCCTTTAGGAAAGGAAATTGCCATCCTTAACCTGGTCTAGCCTACATGTGACTCCAGACCAACAGCAATGTAGTCAACTCTCAACTGACCTCTGGGCAATAAAGGTTTCCTAGCCAGAGATGCCCTCATCCTGTTAATGAATAAAAGGGAAAAAAAAATCACTAGACATCAGAAGAACAAAAAGGAATCTCATAGAAAACTATAAAATTCCAACAGGACTTGGCAGGGTAGATGCTGGAAGGCTGTCCTCAAATACAGAGGAGTCCAGAACCAGGGCTTACAGTCTAGGGATACCAGGTAAACCATCTAGGACTGAGGAGAGGAGAAATACCTTCACCCAGAGAATGGGGAGCCTGTGGAATTTGCTACCACAGAAAGCAGTTGAGGACAAAACATTGTATAGTTTCAAGAAGGTGCTGGATATAGCACTTGGGACTAAAGGGGGCAACAGTTTGGGAACAGATTATTGAATTAGATGGTCAACCATGAACATAATGAATGGTGAAACAGACTCAAAAGGGCCAGCTGGCCTACTTCTGCTCCTGAGATAGTAGGAACTGCCAATGCTGGAGAATCTGAGATAACAAGGTGTAGAGCTGGATGAACACAGCAGGCCAAGCAGCATCAGAGGAGCAGGAAAGCTGACGTTTCGGGTCTGGATCCTTTTCTGAAGAATGGTCCAGACCCAAAACGTCAGAAGAGTCCATACCCGAAATGTCATCTTTCCTGCTCCTCTGATGCTGCTTGGCCTGCTGTGTTCATCCAGCTCTACACTTTACTTCTGCTCCTACTTTCTATTTTTCTCTGAATGTGTGGATGCCTCCCCCTTATTTTGTCCAAATTTTGCACAGTTAATAAGTACTTCTGACTTAAGAAATCAGACAACCTTTCTCAGCCTTAAGTGCATTCAATGATGGAGCATCTGAAAACTTCTGGGCTCAGCATTCTAAAGTTCAAAACCCTTTGAGTAAAGTGAGTTAATGAGTTTCCATCGCATGTCATAAAGCTGGGATATTTTAACCAGAGAGTTACAACCCCTTATAGCCTCCCTAACAACCCCATTTCCCTTCTAGGCTCCCACTTCTCTCCAAGCCAACACTTCTCCTTGCAAGCCCTCCTATGTGCCTGCATCCCATTTTCAGCTTCATTATTCACCCATTCCCAATCCTATAGTCCCTGCAGTTTCCTAAATTGCCCCACCACACCCCTTATAACTTCCTACTTATCCCCCATCCCCATTGCAGCATCGTGGATTGCCCCCACTGCTTCTATTTTGAGCTGACACAGGAGCTGTTTGCAACCAGTGAGAACATGGTACAACTTGACACTATCTGGCTCCTTTATCACTTTTGATGTGCAACTGTCAAGAGCTATCATTTTTCTGTCAGTTAATCTGTAATCCATGCGACAATCAAACATGAACTAACATAATGCCAGCACAGTTTCCTTAGATTTAAAACACATCACTGCATTGGACTCTTGTAAACATGGACAAACTTCATAAGTCTGAACTGACCACAAGACTCCTACGACCACTGGGTATCAGAGTAACACACAAACCCACATCAGCCCTACGCCACTGCTAACCCAAACCAAAGAGCCATTACCCACTATGGACAGGACCAATGTCATATACAAGATTCCCTGCAAAGACTGTGACAAACGTTACATTGGACAGACAGGAAAAAAATTAGCCACAAGAGTACACGAACATCAACTTAGCAACAAAAAGACACGACCAATACTCACTCATCTCCATCCACATGGATAAGGAAAATCACCAATTTGATTGGAACAACACCAGGATCCTGGGACAAACCAAGCAGAGGCAAGCACAGGAATTCGTAGAGGCCTGAATCTCCACTAAGAAGGCCATCAACAAACACATAGAGCTAGATCCTATATATACTCCATTGTGAAGGGAAACTGGAAGTGAGGTAACCCAGCTCAACGGACACCAGAGTTTAAATACCAGGCAGGAAAACACAACAGCCTTCATCGGAGGCTGCACTGATGATATTACCAAGCAAGGTAATGAAACGTCCGCTGAACAATAAATTCCTTTAAAGCACTTACTTTGTATATATTTCTCAGATTATTACGGAGACTGAAGGTAGAACTGGCTGGAAAATTTTCATGACCACTTTCTATTTTTAGATCAACAATCTGATATGTCAGTCAGCCATGATTAAATACCACCTGGTTGGCAAAACTTCATATGAAGATTAAAGAATACAGAAGAGAGAGAGAGAGAGAGAGAAAGACCAGCTGCATTGAAAAATGATACTGCACAGATTTTTTAAAAATTACAAAATGGTCCAAATGCCAAATCAATTCCCTTAGTTCAAAAGAAATCAAAATTCTTGTCCATCACAGTTTGCAACCATAAGTTGCCAGAACCCATGAAATACCACCTTAATGACGATACATCAGCAAACCATGTCGGAAGCAAAAACAGAAAGTGCTGCAAAAGGCCAAGGGGTCTGGCAGCATCTGTGGAAATTGTGAAGAAGGGTCACTCGACCCGAAATGTTAACTCTGATTTCTCTCCACAAATGCTGCCAGATCTGCTGAGCTTTTCTAGCAATTTCTGTTTTTGTTTCGGATTTACAGCATCCGCAGTTCTTTCAGTTTTTAATAAGTCTGAGGCCACTGCATCAAACACCGTCCTTACCCGCCACTTCTCCCCCTTTCCTTAATTGTTTACAATTTACATAGTTGATTTAGAATTGGGAACCAAGTATAGTGTGTCAAAGTTCACAGCTGACACTAAGATGAGTGGTAGAACAAAGTGAGCAGAGGACACTGAAAGTCTGCAGAGGGATACAGATACGTTAAGAAAGTGGGCAAGGGTCTGGCAGATGGAGTACAATGTTGGCAAATGTGAGGTCATCATTTTGGTAGGAATAACAGTAAAATAGACTATTATTTAAATGGTGAAAAACTGCAGTATGCTGCTGTGCAGAGGGACCTGCATGTCCTTGTGCATGACTCACAAAAAGTTGGTTTGTAGGTGCAGCAGGTAATTAAGGCAGCAAATGGAATACTGTCCTTTATTTCTAAAGGCATGGAGTTTAAAAATAGGGGGATCACGCTGCAGCTGTACAGGGTGCTGGATTGGGCCACACCTAGAGTACTGTGTACAGTTTTGTCTCCTTACTTGAGAAAGGATGTACTGGCACTGGAGGGGGTGCAGAGGAGGTTCAGTAGGCTGAGTCCGGAATTGAGAAGGTTGGTTTATGAGGAGAGATTGAGTAGACTGGGACCATACTCATTGGAATTTAAAAGAGTGAGGGGTGAATCTTATAGAAACATAAAATTTTGAAGGGAATAGATAAGATCGAAGTCAGGAGATTGTTTCCACTGGTGGGTGAAACTAAAACTAGGGGGCATAGCCTCAAAACAAGGGTAAGCAGATTTAGGACCGAGTTGAGGACGGACTACTTCTTCAAAACCCTTTGGATGAATCAGCGGAATTCCCTGCCCAGTGAAGCAGTTGAGGATACCTCGTTGAATATTTTTAAGGCAAAGATGTTTATTGAACAGAAAAGGAATTAAGGGTTATGGTGAGCAGTCAGGTAAGTGGAGCTGAGTCCATGAAACATCAGCCGTGATCGTATTGAATGGCAGAGCAG